ATCAGTGATAACAATCAACAGCTAGTGTAAGTTACACTGCTGGCAAAATACAAGCAGTGAACTACAATACAGAGGCAGCTAAATGCACTACTGTAAAGCAAAATAAGAACTTCACTGTTTGGTAGGAGCAAGCAGAGAGAAATAGGACCTTTCAGTGTGTTGAATCTGATACAGGTCACTGGGCGTACTGTGAACTATCCCACACTGAATTCTTCATCTAGACAATAAGTCTTAGGAATTTGAGATGTCATCCTCTTATTGAGAGAGGTGGAAAAAAAAAAAAGCTGTGCTGCATAAATATGACCTGTAACAAAACAGAATGAAAAGTAGTTAAAGACGGTTCCTTGTCCCCATTCCGAATAGCAGGTGGAAGCAGTTGCTTTAAAGCATCTAGAGGTAAGTTTTGAAAATGCTTCTGCATATCACGTCAGCCTCAACAGTTTATAGAGAAGTGCAACATTCTGTAAAATATTTGACATGTTTGTGTTGGCTAGTTTTGAACAGCTGTATATATGATGATTTGATGTTGCTGTTAGAAAGTAGTGAGATTAGGAAACCCAATATTTTTTTGGCTACTTTTGTTCATACTTTATATCTGCCAAAAAGGAAAGGATGAAATAGTCACTGGAGCCAGAGGCTTGCCTCAGCTGTGGTGAGGTATCCTTGAAAGCTGCTGTCTGCCTTTGAGGCAAGTTAGCCCATTTCTCTGACCAAATTCCTCAGGGATAAATTGTCAATAAACTTTTCTTCAGTTCACTAGAAAATAAGTATATTTGGATATTTTAGGGAAGGGAGTTGAAGGTATCTGAGCAACGAGTCAAGAGCCTGGCCTTGACCATGGGTAGAATCTTCAAAGGGGTCTTAGAAGAGCTCAGGACTCAATTGCTCTCATAATACCTTCACATAACTAACTCATTTTGTCTTCTTCACAGATCCCAGCTACTATGTGATGAAGCTGTAATAGTTAATGTCTGGGCTACTACAACTAATGAAGTAGATAAACATTTTAATGAAACTTGGGCACTTCAGTGCTGAAGTATTGTGGAGGCTTAAATTAAATTTACAAGTGCAGTAGCGATCAGTGTTTGCGTGAAGAATAATTCAGAGTTTGATAGTTTCTGATGCTTGCAGTTTGATAACAGACCTGCTGTGTTACTTGTAGGGTTTGTGACAGGAGATGCAAGTAACTGGTTATGCTCTGCTCCTTGAGAGCATAATTTAATTTTAAAAATCCAAGGTAGAAATTTTGTGCCTCTGATTCTAGCAGGGAAGTATTTTATTGAAGTGTAGAGCAGGTTTTCAGAGAAGTAGTGGGGAAGGGGAAAATTCATTTTTTCAGAAATTAAATTAAAGAAAACTTACACAGAAGTAAGGTTGGATTGTGTGTGATTTGTCTGTCATTCTTCAGGCTCTTCAGTGTAGACTTTCTCATTTTCCAGTCCTCACTTTGCATGTCTGCTTCGTAAATAAACCCATGCATTGTTGTTAATTCAGGGCTACTGTTCCAAGCAGACCGAGCCCCACTACAGAGATACCTGAATCGTTTTCATCTGCTAGAAATTTTTGTCACCTGTCTGCCTTTCATCATCTTTCCAGTTTCCCATTCTAAGAACCTGTGTCCTGTTTAAACTACCTAAACCCCTTCTTGTCTCTGTATCTTCTCTCTTCACACTACGACAGTTACTTAGAAACTCAGGCACCCTTGAATCCTCCAAAATCTTTGTTCTCTCACTTTTCTTCCTTCAGGGAGTCTCAAGTCTCTTGAGGCCTTCACTAGGCTTGATTGGTGAGTTAGGTCAGTATGAAATATATTTAAAGACAACCCTGTATTTTAGAGATGAAGTAACATCTCAGCTCCCTGAAATCTCTGCTCTATGTCTCCTCAGAAACCAGCCTGAAGCGTAAACAGACTGCAGTGCTTGTTTCACAGACTGATGGGGAAACCCAAACCTTTTTCATGTAGCAGCCCAGAAGCCTTCCCTCTGTCTTCTCTTAAGAAATGTAACTTTCAAACCTTAGAATGACTTCAGCCCCACCAGTGACAGCGGCGTGTATTGTATCTGGCTGGCTGTCAGGCATATCATAATGCTGGTGATTAATTAGCCCCAAGTCCCATAGGGCACATCATATGCAGGGTCTTGGAAGTACTGAAGGAGGTGGACCTTTCCTGAGGTGAAAGAAAAGGGTGTTACCTCTGTTGTTTCCCTCCTGAACAACCCAGCTCAGTGTGTGTGTGCCCTTCTAGCAGGGCAGACCCTATTTAAGGTTCTCTGATTAATATTGCTGGGTGCATCCTTGAAATATAACAGAATTAACTCAGGTTGGAAGGGACCTCTGAGGGTCATCTAGTCTAACCCCCTCCACGAAGCATGTATGAGCTGTGAAATTATCTCCAGTGAAGAGCTGCAATGTCTAACTGGTCCCTTTAGTACAATGGTTCTGCTTTTTCAGGTACATTTTTCTGATCTGTATGTAAAGAGAAACAAATTGCAGGATTTTGGTTCCTAAATACTTAGATGTGCAGGTGTTAATAAACTGAAACACTGGTGCAGAAAAGTACTTTGCTTTATTTGTGTGCTGTATATGAATTGAACATTCAGGAATGAGGATTTTTTAAAGTTACATTTTACCAATATAATCTCAGAGGTCATCCAAGAGAACAATCTAGTTTCAGTTCTGGTTCTCACTGTATCAATGGAGTTTATAGACTCCAGAAATCAGTCAAAATTTATTTGAAGACTCTTTCTGGAAAGAAAGTATATGGCAGAGGTATTTATACTTGATTTTCCCCATGTAATCTTTGAAGACAAGGTGGTGTCAACCATCTTGCCTCTCTTTCTTTCCAAAATGCAGCAGTGATTTGAAGGACTAATTTGTGTGGTTCTGAGTGACTTAGAGCAACTCTTAAATATACTGTCATTGAAATTCCTTAGCTGTTGGTAGCTTCTAGTCTGAATCGATCTATTTTGAGAGTGACATTCCAGATTGATTTTTGCAGAGCTAACAGCCCAATTCCTCTCCCTCCCTCCCCCCCCTCACACCCTACCCTAAATGAACAGGTATGATTTGAATTTAATTAACCAGGAAACCATAAATCCAATCTGACATTTTTACAAAGTCAGCTTTCAGAACAGAGCTGTGCTTAAATTGTGTACTAGGGTGCCTTAAACTTCTCTGCTCTGAAAGGATACATGAAGATTTTTTTTTTCTTGTTAGAAAAATGTGAAATCTACTCATAATTCAGAAATGCATGTTTATAAAAGAGAATAAATCTTTTTTTAAAGTCTATTTTCCCTTCTCCCCAACTGAAAAAATTGTCTAATTTCAGTAAGAAATATATTTGTAGTGAAAACTGTGTCTGTCTCAAGGGCAAGGTAAACTTCAGGATTTTGGGATGAGGTGCTGTCAACAGGAGCCTAAGGAGATCTTTTTGTAAGCATGGAGTTTACTTACCCCAAGTGTGGTTAAACAATGCTGGAGTATTAATACAAGTATATCCCAAGTAGCATTACATATTGTAGCAATACATACGTTTGGAAAAGTCAGTTACAGCACAATTTTATGTTAAGGCAATTGGTTTTGGTTTTGTTGGTTTTGGTTTTTTTTTTACATTTAGTAAGTATTTTCCTTTTTTGACAAAAGAATTGTTTTCAGTATTCTTGTTATTCCAGGCTGTAATGGATAGTATAACAAACTGTTCTTTTTTTTTTTTCCTGTTGTGGTTCTTAAAGTCACAAACAGTTCTTACCTGGTTTGAAAGGTATGCAAAAGACAGAAAGAAACAGTGTTTGCAGAGTGCCATAAGTTGAAGCCAGCTGACATGTGTAATCACAGTTGGTGTGGATCAGCCAGCTGACAGAACTATTCCTTATGGATCTCACGTTCACTTCATGTCTGTCTAGTGCCACCTCCACAAGACCTGGTGGCTGCTTTTCAGCAAGCTCCAGCCTGCCAGGCAAGGAGGTGTCTCAGCTCATTGCTACAAGTATTAGAGTCTAGGTCCGAGGTTCTTTCAGAGAGGAAAAATAACCTTCTTCTAAAAAAACTCTTTCTTCAGCACACTTCTGCCACAGGTGGGGAATTGGTCCCTCAGGAGCAGAGATATGGGTCCAGTGGTTCTAACATGTCTGGCTGCTGCAACTCCCAACACCTAATATGTTATGTGTTAAATATTAGTTGTCTTACCCGACACTAAAGCTGCAGTGTGTCGTCACTGAAGCAGAGGAGGATTTGGGAAGTGGGAAGTCTTGAGTGACCAGTGCTAGCTGTTGTGCTGCTTTCTGAAGAAATAATCTATTCAGTCAATATATTTAGTGTAGGCTTTTTCTTTAATTATTCTGAAGCTGTAGAATAGAATTTGGTTACAGAATTTATAAGTTGTTAATAAGTTTGCTGTAGTAGTGTAATTTGGTTGTTCCCATGTTTTTCTTGGGCCTGATCCAAAAATCTCAGAAGCTCTCCATTTAAATTGAATGGGTATTGGATCAGGCGCCATAGTGAGTTGTTAGCTTTGTGTAAAATGTTTATTTTTATTTGATTTTAATCATTCCTTCCAGAATATATGGTCATGTGTTGGCAACATGTGTAGCTTGGTGAGTACAAATGAAGTTGACGTTTATCTGTATGATTTAATCGCTTGCAAAAAAAAAAATAAAAATCTGTTAACAAAACAAAGCTTTGGTTTGCAACCACGTGTTAGATCCACATGTGGTTATCTGACATCTGATCTCTTAGAACTGTTGTCACTGTTGCTTTCAGAGTCATACAGTAGTTCTAGTTGGAAGGGATCTTAAAAGATCGTTTCACACCATGGGTGGGGACATCTTCCACTAGACCAGGCTGCTCAAAGCCCCGTCCAACCTGGCCTTGAACGCTCCCGGAGATGGGGATCGTCTTCGGCATGGGATTATCTTCTGCAATTCTAAAGAAACTTTATTTGGTGCAATGAAGTGCTCTTTTCTTCCTTTTCTCTTCCTTTTCTGATGTGATGAACCAGGTCCAAGGAGCGGATAAGCGATGTGCACTGCCCTGAGCCCCAAGGCACGCGGGCCTGGCCTCTCCGACATGCACCAGTACAGCCAGTGGCTCGCCAGCAGGCACGAGGCCAACTTGCTGCCAATGAAAGAGGATTTGGCCCTGTGGCTCACAAACCTACTGGGTAAGGCACAGTGAGATGGAATTTAGGGGCTGGGCAGTAAGAGTACTCTTTCCACTGGGAATTCAGACTCTTTTGTACATCAGAAATAAAAGTAGTTATTAGTTAGCTACTTCCATGTAGTGCAACTGCTAGCAAGGCCAGAAAAGCTAATGAGTAATTTGCCTCCACAGTGTTTCTGTGAGTAGCATAACTGAACCTTATTATACATCTCCTGTTTGTTTTTTCAAATTCCCCTCTAATTTTTTTTTACATGTGTTTTCTGTATTAATACCATTAAGCTGAATGATGCTAATTGCTGCCACCACCCGTGTTTTCCATTTTTATTGATAAGCCTCCTAAAGAATACAGGTGTACTGACTGTCTTGAATAGAAGGAACCATTAAATAGTTCTTTGCTGACTTTGTCTAGTAATTGATAAGTGCTGCCCAAGGCAATGCATGATAAGACTTCTGGAAGTCATTTGTAGAGGGGTTTGACCTACCACAGCTGGACCTGGGGATTTACACCTGCCTTGGTGTGTGAAGCCAAAGCATGTTGTTGCCAAAAGAGGGTGCAAACCAAACACCCAGAGAAAAAAAATCAGGTACATGTGAAAGAAGAGTGAGTGAGATTGTCCCTGGCAGGAAGGAGACAATACTTTGAGGTACACAAATCATTCCTGAAGGTGTACAATTTGGAAATTATGAGCCAGGAAATAATATGCTGTTTCCTGAGATCAAATCAAGGAAAAATGGCTTTGGGGTGATCCCTGCAAGTCCAAAGAATACCACCAAACAAATCTGTGACTTGTAGAATACCTCATGCTAAAGGAACCATGCCAGCAATTCCTCTCATTAAAGAAAGAGAAGAAAATATTTCGGGGGAGGTGATGGTTGCATGAAACTTTTATTCATGTTATTTTGGAGGAAAATTTGGATAAGCACTTTTAAATCGGTGTGTGTGGGTTTGGAGGATTTATTTAATTTTTATTTTATTTTCTGAAAGTCTGTTCTGCTGAGGCATGGGCAGTGTCTTGTCATGGCAAATGCTGTAGTTAAACTATCTCAGTCAATTGATGTCATACAATAATGGAGTCTATCCAGTGTCTTTCATCTGCACTGTATTTCCTCTTTTTTTTAAGAGAAAGGGAAATATCACCTTTTAAGAGATGTAGTCAATAAGTACAGTGTCAGTAAAATGCAAGAACACATTATTTTTCAGGTAGATGATACCCATTTTAGAGTTATGAATCCGTAACTGCAGAAGTGGCATGTGTTTTAAATGACATACTTGTGTGGTACTTCAATTTAAATTAATGAGTTTGGAATATAAAATTGTCTAGACAATTCCAGAACAAAGTTCAGAAATACTGACTTTTCATTCCAATTACCACAGGACAGCAATCCAAGTGACTGTTTTTTGAATCAGAAGCAGCACATTCCATTAAGGATTCAGTATATTGTTTAAATATTTTAAACAATGAAGTTTTCGTGATCCACTCTAAAACAAACAGAACCTTGTTTGCAGTTGGTAACAGAGTTCTCCCACTGATAAGTTTAGGAATGAGGTCACTTTTTGAGCAAGGAAGTAGCAACCAGCAGGAGGTTCTGAAATGCCAACTATAATTAAAAATCTGATTTTTCATATGGACACCAAATTCTGCACTGCAGAACTAAATGGGTACAACCTTCTTTTAATTAAGCAGCATATACAGTTCATTTGCTTAATGCATCCCCCCCACACCTTCTCACACCAAGCTCTTCTTTTCTCAGAGTTTGTGCTGAAGAATTGAAATTACAGTGATTTGTTAAACCACTTTGAATTCCTGTGTCGACATTGTTATTCAAATTAATAATTCAATTAAGTTAAAATTCACATTCAGAATAAATTAAGTGTAAGTGAATTAAAATAATTATTATTCATAAAAGTATATTAACTCAGAGTTCAAATTTGGTTTAATTACTGCATAATTTGGATTAACTTTAAATAGAGTAGGGATGTGTGAGCATGTTGCTGTGTGATAAAATAGATATGAATTTACATCATGCTGTTACCTTGTAAAAACCTGTTTGTACTGTCTAATTTTTCAGCATCCAAAAGGGTAGAAGAATATGGAAGAGTTTTTTTGTTTGTTTTGTGGTTTGTTCTTTTCTTTACATGGGACAAATAATGTATTTTGCATTAATGGTCCAGTAGATTTTCACATGCAAGGATGTGCAAGTAGCACAGAACAAATAACACTGTGTGTCTCCACACCTTAGCTTGCTCTCTCCTGTATCTTGTATAACCTCATTGTAAGTGTCATTTATGTATGTATAGTAAGCCTCATTTATGCCAGTTCTAATGCAATAAGGTTTCTCAATTTTTAAAGCACACAAATATGCATTTAAGTTAATTTTTGCCATTTTGGTTCATGTTTTGTTTCATCTGTATTTTAGTCATATGTACTCAACGTGGACATAGAATCTTTGCAAAGAAACATAGATTTTAAAAAGTAATAGTATTTTAGGCAAAAATAGGGCTGAACCTCTTTGAAGCAGCTTGATCAACTGATGGTGTTTTAGGAAATTTTTGTGGAGAGGCAATTGTGTCCTACACAGTGTTACTGGAAGTTGAAAAGATTACGGTCTTGCAGTAGCAAAGCCTGGTGTGGGTTCAAAATTACAAACTGGAAAACATTTTCAGGATATTGTACTTTATAATATGAATGAAGGATTTTGATTTCAGACAGAAGGTAGGCATAGCTAGAGTTTGACCTTACCCAACACTGAGATATGTGGTGCAGCTGAAAAATAATGCTGTGAGAATCTTTAACCCTGAGACTTTAGACATTTTATTCTAATTTAACATGTTGTGGTTTTTGGTTGTTTTTTTTTTTTTTTGGTATTCACTACTACTTTTGTGTGCATTTTGTTAATTATTTTTGGAACCATGTCAGAGGAACTCAGCTTCTGAGAGGACAGTTTGTCGTTACAGCTCCATTGCTGAATAGATTTTAGCTGTCTGTACTCTGGGGGATGGAAAAAGGACATTGCAGACGAACTCCATGTGTCAGATAGCATTAACTCATACAATATTGTACATTATAGCATTGTGGGGGTTGTGGTTTGCATGCTGGAGAGAAAGATTGGAGCTATGGGTGTTGTGTCTCTTACCTTTGCTTCTCTCTGCTGAGCTTTGGTGCCTCAGTCGAGAGTGGCAGTGGCAAAGTTAAAAAGATGTGTTAACCCAGCTGTCTTGCAAGTCATGATCATGTCCTAGCCTTGCTTTTAGTCTGTATAGAGCCAGTGAAACACTTGGGAATGCCTTCATGGCTGACAAACTCCAAATTTGGTAGATTATATGTATATACTTTAGTAGAATGCTCTTGTGGATGCTGAAAAGTTCTGTTCACCTTTAGCAAGCTGCACATGGGAATTAGCACACTTGGGCCATAGTACTCTTCTAGCAGAGGGAAAATAGCAATTTGAAAGGCTTGCCTGCCTGCCTTACTCTCCAGTACTTTCTTGTTTTCCCTTGTGTGTCTGCAGAAGCGAAGTGGCTGATGTGAGGAGGGGTGGGCCTCACCGCCAGCCTGGAGTTTAGCACAGGTACAGAGAGATGGTCTGTGTTTCCTCTTTGGCTACTGTGTGGAGCTCTCATCTTTCTACTCATTCCCGGAATCCATTTACAAGCTGCAGAGGGTTATATTGTCTTTTACTCCATCCAACTTTGTTTAGCACGTGGGACCACACCTTGGGCACGTGTCTGAGCTTCAGGGTTTCAGTGCTGAGGCTTCTTCCAAACAGCTTTCTGGGCTTCAGGAGCTCGTAGCTGAGTGGCTGGAGGGTGCAGGGTGCTGAGGAACTGGACATGGAAATGTTGAGTGTTGTTTGCACACAGAAGTTTCTTGGATACAAAAGAGAAGGAGGCTTGGATAAAAAGGAGCATAGGGGCAAGGATGTTAGGAGAGTTGAAGACCAGGCTGGGTATTTAAAGGTGTGTTGCAGGAGGTGTGAAGTTTGGGATTGAGGAGTAGGAAGTCTTGTGCAAGAGAACTCTTTCTTTGATTCTGAATTAAATCTCGTTCAACTTAGTGTTTTTGTTCCACTTGCTGTCTAAGGGCGTTCCATAACAGTATGTTTATTTTCAACATCAGTTTGTTCAGATCAAGCCAGTGGGAAATGCAGGCCTTTGAATGTCTTGATATTCAGATATTTTAATGCTGATACTTCCAGTGATTCTGCTGGTATTGGTACAGTTTCTCTCTTAGTTGAGTGGCTTTATCTAATTCTCTTTAGTATCAACATGCCTTTGGAATTGTTTATATGTCCCACTTCAAGTAAGTGATAATGTCTCAATGCTTTCAAAACCATTGCTTCTGCTGTCAGTTTGTGGGGTGTTAACAGAGTAGCCTTGTCAGAAGATAACTAGTTTTGTATGTGCATAAAATCACTGGCCTTTTGTTTTCCTTATTTTTGTCACATTTTGTTATTTTGGGTTTAAGCACTGTAGATGTGTTTCAGAGATTCACCCCAGTGACATATTTCTATTCAAAAACTACTAGTTTTGTGTTGCTACCGAAACGTACAATTAAAACAGTCCTTCAGCTAGTTCTGAGGCTGGAGTCAGTCTTACACTGCATTTATCACAGCAAATGTAGAAGAACTGAGTGCAATAATAGAGGAACCAACTAGGTTTTTGGTACTTTGGGTCTTTCAGTCCCTCAGCCTTCTGCTGAAGGCTCTGCTTGTCCGAGGCAGCCCGTAGGGAATGCTTTGTCTTCGACCTCTTGGACACACACCCAGGGCATGGTCTCTTTTCAGCTACTCTGTCATGAACCTCCCACTCTGGTTGCACTGTGACCCTGCAGATAGCTGCTCACAGCTTGCAGGAGGTAGAGCAGTTTGACTTTTTCGGGGGCACCTGGTGGTTGTGGTAAAAGAGAGGGTAAGCAATGCTTGTGAGGTTCCAGAAAGCCTTCGTGTTCCTGTGTGTGTTTTTTTTTTCCCCCCCCCCATACTTTCAGTGTTGTTTTTTTTATTATACTTAATGTTATTACCATTCTATAAAAATATTGCAACTGCTTTCTTGTAATTATAGGGGGAGTTATACATTTTTAATGGAGTTTAATGTTTTTTCCATACAAATACACAGAGCCTTTTTTTTCCCCTCAGGTTATGAACATTACTCTCATTTGAATCAATATATTTCAACTGTTAAATATGTCAGAGTGTCTGTTTTAGCAAAGAAATGCCACCTTTTGGAGCCATAAAATATAGTGAATTGAAAGCTGACACCTAATATTCTTTTCATTGGATACAGATGTTCAATGCAAAATTCATTCTTTCAGATTTCATAAAGGGGAATAGAACTCAAATAATCCAGCTTGGTGTACAATATGCAGTGACCAAATTGCTAAAGCACTTGAAATAATATAACTGTATTGTTAAATAGCAGAAGAAGATAAAAGAATTTTTCCATGTCTGTGTAAAGAGAAAATGTCCCTAAATAGGTTTTATGTTTTTTATAACATTTTATTATTATGAAACAATAAATCTTTGGATCATAGGACTGGAGATATGTAAAATGTGATTTTTCTGTTTTACCCATGTGAAAAATTACGTTTTGCAAACTAAAATAAAAATGTTGAGTAAGTTAAAAATATTTGAAATTTAATTTTTTAAAAAGAAAAGGAACCTATTATAAAATATAATACTCTTTACAGGAAAGAGATTCCTGTAGCATGGTCCTTTTTCAAATTTGGCTTTCTAATGACTTTATAACACTTTATAAAAATGCTAATGGGGCAAATGGGAAAATATGTAGGCTAGAATGGTGGCAAAGGCTTTTGAGGTGCTGAGATGTTCCATTTTTTATCTGTGGGCTATTATAATTTCAGTCCTGGCTTCATCTGAGCTGGAGACACTGTAAAATATTATCAGTTAGGCATAAGCTAACTGCCATGTCTGCAGTGCTACTACTGCTCTCTTGCCTGGGGAAGTCATTTAGGTATTCAGGAACCATGAAGTGGGCTACATGGCAGATGGAATTAAGAGGGAATAAAAAAGGGGGAAATTTCCTGTTTAAACAGATATTTCTGAAGTAAAAATGTTTTAGAAAAAATAAGTTTAACTTCAATTACTTTATAATGCTGCTATATTCAGTATTGTGACATTGAGTATCAGATTACAATGCACCAGCAAGAAGTTCAGTTTTAATTTTTTATCTACTTTATTTTTGTAAGTTTTTTCCCTCTCTTCTGAGCAAAAGATGTAGAAAAGTTTTACTTCACTTTTTTACTTTTCCCCTTTTTTTTTTTTGACTAAAAAATGCACTGAACCTGTTCTAAACAGAATAAAGTTTTCAGTTTCCAGACATCTCATGGAAGCAGAAGTGGATCTGGATGAGGTGGGGAACCACTCTAACTTGAGTTTTTTTAATATTTTTCCTTTTTTTTTTTTTTTTAAAGGGTAGACTATTGTTACTAACATGTGCTGTGTGACAATCTATGAAAAATGAGTTAATAGCGTTATTCCTGTTTCTAAATGACATATATAAATATTGGGGGGGGGAAAATATCCTATCTTAATAGAAGGAGAAAGAATTAGTCCCTGATGCTCTCTTGATATTAGTGTAAGTTAAGAGGGCTGAAAAATACAGCTGCTAGTCAAAAAAGTTCCAAAGAGAAGGCACATTTTTTGGTGGAAATGTGAAAATTAAAAACCTTCAGTAAGATATAGGAATATTTTTACCTGAAAATTATTTTTTTTTCTTATGTACCTAACTTTATTCCTGGAAAAGGACTTTCATAGGAGCGTTGCAGTAACTGTAGTATCTTGTATACTTCTTGCAGGACCAAGTCTTAAGAGTCTTCTAAAAAAATGTAGTCCTTTCCTTCTTGACAAGATTTTCTACTTCTGCTACAAAATAAACTGTTGGCAACTCTTGTGCTATAGCTACACATGCACACTGGTGTAAACCATTTGCCTGCTGTAGCCTGTCTTTTAAAATATTGTGTTAAAACCACTGGATTTCCATAAGTAAAGTGAAATACATGGAGTCTGATATGCTAGAATTATTTTCCAAAGATCACATGCCTTCCCAAAAAAAAAAAAAGCATGGTTTTTTTCGTGATTTTCTGTATATCTACAGGTGAAGTTGTAGTGAGGTTATTCGCTAAATATTCAAAGTAATACAAGTTTTTCAGTTAAAGTGTATTGCAAATTACTGTTGAGGTTTCTATTGATTTTTCTCTTTTCACACAAATGCAGTCTGTACTATTGCATGCTTTCTGCCATGTTAACTCTCTGTTTGCTGTTCAGGTAGAGAAATAACAGCAGAAACCTTTATGGAGAAATTGGATAACGGAGCCTTGCTTTGCCGGTTAGCTGAGACCCTGCAGGAGAAGTTTAAAGAAAACAGCTTTGATGCAAACAAACCTGGCAGAGTAAGTGTTGGTCAATGTTCTAGTGTGTAATATCAGTATCTGGGGTATCTGAGCTTTTTTGGTTTGGTACTGAACTTCTTTTTGCACCGTTAAGAGATTTCACGTGTGGATGTTCTGCAAAAGAGCGGGGAGGTAATTGCTCTGTGTAGAAGAACAACTGTATAAAGGTGGGGGAAATAATGCTTATCTGGTAATTATTAAAGTAACTATGCAAAGCAGTTACTCAAAATATGTAAAAGCAGTTACTTGTAATATGTGGAGAATAAGGTAGAACAAGATCTAGCAGTGTGATGTGGTAGCTAAAGGAGAAAATGTGATCCTTGCATTTGTTTGCAAGGGGAATACTAAGTAGCTGTGGGAGGTGTCTTTTTTCCTCTGAAAACAGCTCTAGGGAGGCCAGTAATAAAACTATAGTTAGTTTTGGTGCCTCGAGTTTGAAGGTCCTGTTGGTGTACTGGAAGAGGTTTCAGCAAAAAGGTGCAGGAATGATGTAGAAAATGTGAAACTGAGAAGATCCTGAAGAGTTTTGGAAAGATCAGGTTAAGATCTTGCTTGAATGCAACCTCTCTTTCCTTTAAATTATTTTCATAGGGCAGTCTTACTGGGAGAGACTCAAGAGTGCAGCGATTCTGTTTCTGGGAGAAGTTGAATTAAAGGGTCGACACATTAAAACACTTATTGTGAAACTTTCTATTTTTCTTGTGCATTCAGGTACATCTTCCTTGAAAGCTAAAACAGGCAAATAAAAAGCAGGTAAAAGAGAGCCCAAGAACATAATGCATCTTCTATCTTTGATGTTTTCATAACTCATCTGTAGCAGAAATTAGGGCACAGCATGAATTTTATCAGCTGTTCTGAGAACTGTCAGCCTTGTGCCAGTTGCACCTGTATAAGTTGTTTTTCTTGGTTCCAAGTTCATAATTGTTGTTGCAGAAGAAGTTGTCATGTTTCCTATTTCAAATTATAATCAGGGCTTGTTTAGTAGAGGTACTGGTTGATTTCTGAGTTCCTCTTTATAATATGATCTTTATAATATTGTCTTCACCTGTGCCATGGTAGCTTCCAAGTGAGAAAACACCTATGGCAGTCTTTTTGATTAAGCCTAGGAACTAGCTAGGCAGAAAGAAGGGTTACTTGTATTTGTTTTTGAGCCTAAATTACATTAGAAGCTGATTAGACATGTGCAGTCACATGTGTTGTCATTACTTAGATTTGTTGGGCTTTTATTTGTTAAACTGGTATAACTGACAATGCAATTAAAGGGAAAAAAAATCTGCTCTGCTGCTATTTTCTCAATGTATATTGTTTCATACTTATTATAGTAAGAATTCAAAGAAATGGCACAGTAATAGATTTGTGTCATTGTAGACTGTTAGGAAGCTCTTCATCCTTTCAGATTTTAGTTCCCTGTGTAGCAGTCTTGGGCAATAGGACTAGCCTACACATTGAAAAATCTGACTTGTGGTGCCAAGGAAATTTATGAGAAGATTATAGTGTATGAAATTTAGCACAGTAAGAATTCCACAATGCTCCCCTGAATAATTATTTTGCACCCTATTAATAATATAATGTGAAATTTTGAAGCCATTTGACCATTTCTCTGCCCAGGAAAACAGAAACATGGCCTTTTACCTAGGTGCTCCAATGACTGGAAGAAGCTGCTGAGTTGTGTTGAGTTCAGCTTCTATCAAAATAGATAACTTACTTTTCTATCCATATATGTAACTTTTAATTATTTTTTTTTATGCTAACTTCTTCCTAGATGGAAAAGCTCCATGCAATATTTTAGGTTTAGTTTTGTCTTAAACAAAGATAGGAAGATGAAATATCCTGTTCTGACTGATATGTACTACTGATCATGAATTCATGGGACAGCTCTTTGGGGCTGTCTGGCCAGTTTAGCAGCTATAGCAACAGATGTAAGAAGACATTAAAAGCTAATACTGCATGCACTGACTCATCAGCTGTTTACCATAATTCCTTAAATTCATAATGCAGTGCTCTATAAAATAGTAGAGGCTAAACCCCTATTGCTTCTGGGTTAACTTGTGCAATATGTTTCTAGTCACTCTTAGTTTTGCAGTTTGTTTGTTAACTAAACTGTATCATTCCCTTTCTTATTAGGGAACACTGAACTTTCTTCAGATTTCAGGAAAAGCCCCTAGGTCAGCAACAGCCTTTTTGAGTGTGGAATACATCGGGAAAGCAGAAACCAAAAAAGAGTTGTGCCTCCCAAAATACTTTGTTTTCCAAATCTGAAAGGCATGTTGATGTCAACACTTCCTTTTTGTGTCATGTGGAGACACTTGTGGACACTGGGGACATTTTCAAAATACATAGGAAACTGCTGGTAATGTAATGTGGAAATACAGCTTTAAGAGACTGAAGAGGAGATTAAATGGTGTTCAATGCAAAAGTAGTGTTTTAAGAGACTGAGGAAGGGAATGCAGTTGTAACTTTTATGTATGAAAGAGATAATAGAGTTGTCTTTTATGAGTGACTGAGTAGATTAGGACTCTTGAGTGTGGAAAAAGAGGCATATGATAGAACCTGCAAAATGAGGAAGGTGTGGTAGAAGTTCAGTTTCTACACAGAGACTACAGGACACTGAATGAAGGTAGCAGAAGCCAGACAAGCAAAAGGGGGGGACTTGTTTACAAACCAGTTGGACAATTCCTGTCAAAGACTGTTAAAATTTACCTGGGTTCCAGTAAACACTGAATAAGGTGATGGAAGGGAGATTTCTTGGAAGGCTGAATACACAGGAACCCCACTCAGATGAGGAAGTCCCTACAGATGAAAACTGTTGGAACTTCAGAAAGTATGAGAGTCACTCTTATGTTCTGTGTGTTACTGTTTCCTGGGGATGAATACCCAGCTGGTTGTGCAAGTAGACAAAGGCAACTCTATCCTTTCACAAGAGTCAGCTAAACCATGCTTCAAAACCTGATCATTCTGAAAACATTGGTGATCCTTTGCTAGACACAGACAAAACTTTTGAGTTTTAAATGAAAATGGATTTTTTTAACAGGGAGGGCAGTGTTAGACTGGTGGGAGTATATGATGTATTTTTTAAGTTCGTTTTTCCTCTTTTTGGAGATTTTTACAGTCATAAATAAACCCAACCATGTACACTTATAAAATGACAAGGAGATGACTGCTATCAGTCTTAATAAATGCTCAAGATTTGTATGGTAGTAAGTTGTTGGAACTACCTGTGCTGCTGCTCCTGCTAATGATCAACTGTCTAGAAATTACAGACTTATTATTATAGCAGCAGTTATTCCATAAAAGTCATTCATGTCACAGGATGCCATTTTGTAATTTTCTCCCACTGGCTTGGATTTCATCTCCATGCTCTCCTGCCAGTATTTTACTTTTCCTGACAGATAGTTAATTTGAGAATTTCACAGCTGTACAAACAAATTCAGAGCATCAAGGCATGTGCAGTGTGCACAGAGCCCACATTTGATTTGATTTGGTTTAGTTTAGTAAGACCATTAATTAAGATTTTAAAATAAACATAAATAAATTGTGTTAATAGTTGGTACCATTTTTATAGGCAGGGCTTGTGTTAATGGTTGTTACCATTTTTATAGGTAGGGCATAGTAGTCTGTCCACCATCCTTGAAGCTGCCTGTATATTTATGAACTTTTCATTCAAAACTATGTTTTCATGGTGAATGAAAACAGGTTGAAGCTTTAATTATCCTTTTTCTCCAAGTTCTCAGAGGCTAATCAGATAAATTTCAAGTCAAATCCCTCTTATAAATACTTATGAATAATCAATTGGAATGTAAAATTTAGCCTCATTTTCAGGAAGCTGGTATCTATTGATTTGGCCAATAAAAGAAATAGAAGTACAAAAAATCAATCCAAGTGCAAATATTTCTGAACTTCTAGAATTTTTAATTCAAATAGGCATTTAATTTTATTCTTTCCATTGGGACTGATTTAATAAGATTAAACTGAATGTTCACTGAGCTGTTGTGTAGAAAAAAGTGAGTAAACTGTGTCCTTGGATGTGCACATCCACTTCCATTGAAGCTGTCCATGAAATAGTAATTTCTGCAAATATACATTCATGTATATCCTAATATTAGGAGATTCTGTCCACATCTTACCCATAGTCATAGTACCTGAAGTGCATTTTGCAATTTTTCTGTATCCAAAGCCTTCACTTGGTCCTGTGAGAGGTACTTGGTCAGTGTGGATCACTGTGGCAGCATTGGCTTCTCACAGTCATGCAGGTTCACATCAGGGGAGACTTTTGGCCTGGTGACTTTGAGAGCCACGTTATGCAATTTCTAATGTTGAAGTTGAATTTTTCAAAGGTGAAACAATTCAACCATTTCACAACTGAAAACTCTGGTTTAAATTTCAAGCTGTTTTTGCTTCTAGAGACAGTTATGTATATCTGTGGAAGCAGAGGCAGAATCCTGTAAACTACAGGACTTGAAAATCCAGGGAATTGACCTGAATTCTGGCAATGGTGGAAGAAGGGGCTGGTGGCAAAAGAGCAAGATTGTAAACTGGAGGCCCAGTATTTTCCCATCTCAGCTATAAGCTTACTGTTTGCTTTTGGGAGAATACATATCTGGGCTTTCACTTTCTACATCTGTAACCTGGGAATACTCTTCACTGTAAAATAGTGGCTTGATTTGTGAACACTGTAAAGAGCTTTGAGCACTTTGGCTATTGCTGCCTCATTTGGTGAGCCGTGATTCCTATTAGGTAGTTCCCATTATGAAAAAAACATTATATTTAACTCTGGTCATTTACAAGAAACATGGAAGCTTATGGTTTTCTAAATGTAGATGAGAGAAAGATCTTTGCTTGTGGATGTGTTGCTTCAAACAGCTTTGTATCTGCCCTGCAATGGGACCACAAGCAAAGGTAGGGAGCTCTGTCCTCCTAAAGTAGAGAATGTGCACCAGTGGTTCAGAATTGGATCTGGAATCTGGATCTTGCTTTTAGGCCCCAGATGGCCAAGCTGAAAG